GACTGTAGTCCGACCCCGACCTGCCGGCAGATGTGCAGACGCCATCTTCCACCGAGCTGGGCAGGTACCCAGGCCTGCCCTTCCCGGCCCCCCAGTACGTCCCGCCCCAGCCGTCCATTGAGGAAGCACGCCAGACCATGCACTCCCTCCTGGACGACGCTTTTGCCCTCGTGGCCCCCAGCAGCCAGCCTGTCAACGCTGCAGGCCCCGGGGTCCCAGCCGGCCTGCCTGTGACCAGCACCCCTTCCCGAGATGAGAAACGAGCCACCCAGTGGGGGTCCTTCTACAGCCCAGCTCAGACGACGAGCAGCCCATGCAACGTAAGTACGGGCCTTCCGGTCTTCACCAGTCTTGAGCGTCGTAGATTCTCCCTCTTGAATCCTCTCACTGCACCGTGCTAGTTGGAGCCACTGTCATCTCTCACCAAGGTTGTTGCAAGGACTTCCAAACTGTCCCCCTGCCTCTGGTCCTGAGAGGCCTACACAGGATGGATCCCATGGGTGACGGGGGGACTGGGAATGGAGACGAAGGCCGACCAGGAGCCTCTTGAGTGCTCATTTTCCGACCGGCACTTGTTCCCTGCTGGCCTGTACATGCTTCCTCTCTCTGCTCCCAATGCTCCTGCGATCGTTCTGTGAAAAAAATCTGTGGCCTTCTTCATATCCCCCGTTCCTTGTGGGGGATGTACGTGCCTGATCCGCGAGGAAGCCTAAATAGTTCTTGGCACTGTTTTCCCCCCTGATTAACCAGTGTTCATTTTATCTTCAGATTCAGCTCTATCATCCACTTGAGGCAAACTTTACTTTATTTCGAAATAATTTTCTTATTCTAACCTATTTATCGGAGTCACAGATAGCAGTTGTCTCTATGTTGGCTCATCTTTGTCTGTTTTCTGTATCTACCACTTTCATTGCTTTAGCTACTTCGTCCTTTTTCCCCTCTGTCTCTGCCTTCATTACGATTATTACGGGCCTTTTCTCTGCGACATTAATTTGATTTTAAGCCATATCTCAGTTCTTTTTCCCCTGCTAGTTGAGTTCTTAGTCATAATGGCATTGTTTTGACCCTCAAATTATTTTCACAGTCCGTAGTCTGCCATTTCAGTTCATTCCATTGTTTTATCATCTCATTGTTGGACTTAAAATTGTCATTTTTACTAAGTTCTTTTATAGTTCCGAATATCCGTAGTGAATCTGTCGCTCGTATTTTCTTCCAGACAGAGTTCTCTGTCTTTTATGTACGTTCGTGTGTGAAACTTGCGTTTGTCTGTCTGCTTGCTGGCTTGCTGGCTGTGCCACGTTTGCAGAGTTGTCATGCGACTTTCCTGTTGTCTAGTTTGTGGCAGATCTTTCCTCCCTTCACTTTGATTTGCTAGAATGTGGGTAAATTCACCTTTGCATACTCCTTACCTTATTTGGGACGTGTTTCACGCTTGAAAATGGCTCTCAGTCCATGTTTCTGTAGCCTGAGGTCATGGAAGAAGGGGAAGGGAGGGCCTGATGAGACCAGGTCCAGTCTTTCTCGGGACTCGTGCTCTGCTGTCTCTTCAGTGGTCTTGTTGCATCTTCCGTGCTCCTACCCAGCACCCACCCACCCACCCAGCCGGAGTATGTGCGCTCCTGTGAGCCTCTGCTCCTCCATACTCAGACTCCTGGCTTGAAAGATGGGGCGGGACTTCCTGCTTCTCCTGACGTCCTGTTGGGCTTTGCGGGGGGCTGGCTCCTACTCTGCGGGCTTTTCCTTCCTTTCTCCCCTCCTTCCCTTGCCAGTACTGCCTGTCAATCCTTTAGACAACCTGCCTCTAAGTAGGAGGCCACTCTGCATATTCTGGGGACAGGGTTAGGAGCCACATCGTGCTGCGGAATCTTTTGTTTTCTCCCTCCTTGGTCACCACTTTTCTCTGTTTACGGCATGACTCTGCTCCTTTCTTCACTCGGATGGTTTTTTGCTGATGAGTTTTAGCGGTGATTTTTTTTGACAGATGTGTGTTATGATTTGTTCATTGTTCGTAGGGGTTGGAGATGAATGATTCTGTGGTAATGCTTTAATCTACCATCTCAACTAAGAATTCAGCTGTAGCAAGGTTTTCGTAGGTGCTGTTATTGAGTGGTTTTCTCATCGTGGACTTTCGATGTTACCTTTGTGAATTTTGATGAGCGCGCTAGCAGTCTGACCTGCGACTATCTAGTGTAGTTTCAGCGTGCTTATCAACTGGTCATAAAGATACTGTTTGTTGCCAGGAGGAACCTGATCACCCTTTATTTGCTTCTTTGGACTACACTAAAAACCACAGGAATGTGGATTTCAAGGTGCTTCAGTTACCCCATGGACCTTTATTAACCGTCTGATGACATTTTTGCTCCTTTTTGCCAGCACAAGGGTGTTAGTTATGCATTAGTGAGTCAGACCCCTTGCTAGGTGGTATTTCTGCTTTCCTGAGTCAAGTTAACCAGCCCAGACGAGTCCTCTCAGCAGCAGGTATGAAAACCTGAGCCATACTTTGACAAGCAGGCCCATCCCAGACGCCACCAACCGACTACCCTTCTTGAGCTGTTTACCTGGGGTTTTTTTTTTTTGTTTGTTTTTTTTACACTGAATAGAAAGAAGGGATGCATTAAAATGAGACTTTTGTTGACATAGCTGATCAAGACCCTAAAATTCGATTTTATCCCCCAACCTTTTATACAGATGTGATCGATTTAGAGTAAATGCCTGCCATTCTGTCTGTGACTGAAAAAACAAAACAAAACAAAACAACTTTTTCCATGGGGCCTGCTTAGCACTACAATAATAAAATGGGTGAGGGGCGGGGGCGGATGTTTTCCAGTTTTTCTTTTAGTTCTTCTCTTATTGGATCTCCTGAAATCCTGACAGGTAAACCGCTAAGCTCTGATCTTTTTTGTTTTATTTTGCACATGAATATGTTTTAAAATTTGAACCGTGCTGAAAGCACAAGGGCGGCATGAATAATCTTTTCTGAGTCTCAGATTTCCCTTTAATTATTTGGAAGAAGAATCGAAGTTCCTCTTCCTTGCATTCATCCATTCTTTCGTACCCCCCTTTGGCCTATTTTACCTGAGTTGGGGAACTCTGCAGGGCTCTGATTTCTCTTCCTCTGCCCTGGGCATGGAAACAGAGCCGGTCAGAAGGTTAAGTAATTTGAGCACCGTTTCATATCTAATAACCCCTTCAGAACTCAATGAGGCGTAGAGATCATTCTGTCCTTGACATTCTGTCCTTCTGGGCGTTAGGAAATAGGTCTGGGGAAGTGGAGTAACTCGGCCAGTCTGACTCCAGAGCATCTACATTTTCAAGACAATAGAAATGGAATTACAGGGGGACAGTCTGGGTTTGGAAACCATGGGCAGGGTGAAAAGCATCATCTTTGGAGTCAGACAAATTAGGAAGAAATTACTGAACTTCTTTGCCAGTTGGTTTCGTCTACAAAACAGAGGTTGTGAGCACTTTTTTTTAGTGTTACTGCAGGCCTGAGTTAGTGCTCATACAGTGCTTACCAAAAATAGTCATTCCACAAAGTCAGCTTAAAAAGAAAAATAAAGATCTACTATTAGAGCAAATCCGGAAGTAAGGCTGACTTGATACCTTAACTCGGAGCTTGCGATTCTGCCTGTGAACAGCCAGTTGGTTCAAACTGGAGTTGGATAGACTCTCTCCAGAGTTAGTGTTCTGCTGAAATATCTGATTCCAAAATGATTCATAATTGTTGAAAAAATATGTGGAAATAGGAGTCGCGTGTTTGTTAGGGCTGGGTACGTCGATGTCATGAGGCACGCAACGCAAATACACATTTCTTTAAGTCCGATGCCACATGGTTTTGGTCCAGACTCGGTTAGCTCAGATTAGCTCAGGTAAGAAGAGTTGATGGACGGATATGGAGGCACCTATGGAACGATATGGTGGGGCCTCCTGGGAACCGGAAATCTTCCAGAAGCTGAAGGTGCTCACTTTATCTTTGTCTCTCTCATTTCTGGTCCTTTATATCTTTATTTTTTTTTATAACGTGGTACAGCATTTGCATCATTTCACGTCTTGAGTGAATCCGAGTTGCTGCTGGGCATCCATTAGACCTGGTGACTCTCGTGGCCGATGTTGGTAGAGTCCCTTGTGATAAATGTGGCCACTTTGGCCTGCCTTTTTAGCAGAAGATATAAGTTTATAGAGAAGGCCTCTGTAGGGAAGAGAAATCCCATTATTCATGTTTTTACAAAAGAAATAAAGATCTTGAAATTAGTTGTGTTTAAAGTCTGGTAGCCTTGTTCTCCAAACTGAAGCTTCTGGCATTACTTGATGGCAGAATGCCCCAATAGCATGCTGACTTTTTATGAGAAAATAATTCTCTTGAAAGTTGATCCCATAAACCTAAATTTATAAGTTTGCTGTTGTCACTTTCTCATAAGTATTGAATATTAATCTTTATCTTCTTTTGAATTTCTTCCAGAGATATGAAGACTATGGAATGACTCCCCCATCAGGCGCATTGCCAAGGTAAAGTTTGCAGGAGAAAATGTGTTAGGACTTCCTCATATAGGCCGTTCGTTTTTTTTTAATTTTGTAAACTCATTTCTGTTAGCTGGTATGAGCAGATTCAAAACTCTGAATTGTGTGTTCTCTTGATTTAACCAGAAAAAGAGAAAACAAGTTGGAATTTAAGTTCTGCTTCCAGTAATGACAGTCTAGATAATTTCCTGAGGACAACTGGAAAAGTTAGATAATATTTTGAAATACAAATATAAAACTCAGAGAGCTAACAGGGCAATGAAGCAGTATGGTGCCAAGATCTAGGAAGTCCAGAGAGGTGAGCCTGCCTTTTGGACCCCTCTCTCCCAGAGGCATCTACTGATTCCAAAGGAGGTGACTGAGAAGCTGAGCAAAACTTTTGATAGACTCATGGGGCTGGGAGGACAAGGATGGGAGGTGCTCGTAAACACCCAAAAGTTTTGGGTTCAGACCCTTAGGTGTTATACCCCAGGAGTAAGGGTGAATGGTAAGTAGATGAGTTCCTACAGGAACTACAACTCGGCTTTGAATTCTTTCAACCCCTGATGGCATTGAGGTGATCAGACACTGTTAGTCCCTCCAGCTGCCTGGCAGAAGCAAATGTAATTCTCCTTTAGAGGAAAATCATATCATACTAGGTCTCATTATCATTATAGGTTTTCAGGTACATGCCAAACACACTACCAGGTATACGAGAGGAAAAGAAAATATGATTTAAAACATAAAGAGAAACACAATAGAAATGGAATTAGAGGAGTTCTAGATATTAGAGTTATTAAACACAGGTTTTGAAATAATTATGCTTAATGCAGAGTTAAGCTCCAGTGTCTGGGAAGATGTAAAAATACTAATTTGTGTGAGAGTCTAATAAGTCAAAAAGTTTGGGGTAAATTTTAGGATGACTTCCTAAAGAATGCTAAAAAATTAAATATCGAGGTAATAGGGAGAAATAAAATAATTTAAAAATAATCCAGAAGAAGGGAAGAAATATGGGAGAGAAAGGAACATAAAATTGGCAGTGTATATAGAAAGCAAATATAAGATGGTAGAAATCTGAATTAGATATATGTGATTACATTAAATATACATGGCTAAACATTCTGATTAAAACACCAAAGGATTGTCAAGTTGGATATAAAAAACTACTTTGGCTTACAAGAGACAAAAAATATGTAGATATGAAAAAGGATATAGAAAATTTGAACGCGATTCATCAACTTGACCTACTTGAGATATATATATAGAACAGTGGACTCAATAACTGCAAAATACACATACTTCAAAAATACACACAAGATTTAAGAAATTTTACCGTATACTTGGCCATAACAAATCTTAACAAATTTCAGAGTCGAAATCACTCAGGGTATGTTTGCTAATCATAGTGAAATTAAGTTAGAAATCAACAACTGGAAAATCCATATATGTTTGCATGTTAATTAATACCCTTCCTAGTAACTGTGGTACACTGAAGAAATCACAGCAGAAATTAAAACATATTCTGAAATGAATAATAATTGAAAATGCACCTTAGCAAAAGTTGTGGGGTACATCTAAAGCCATATTAGGAGGAATTTGGTCCCCTAAATGCATGTATTTAAAAGGAAAAGTGGCTGAAAATTAGTGATCTAAGCATCCATCTCAAGATGTTAAAATCCAATTAATCGTAAAGGAAGTAGAAGGAAGGAAATGATAAAAATAAGGATAGAAATTAATGAAATAAAATCAAAACCATAATAGGGAGGCACGACAAAGCTCAGAGTTCTTTGAAAAGGCTGATGAAATTGTTTGACCCCCAGAGAACTTGATCAGATAATCTGTAATGTCATCTACATGAGGACAAATTAATCTAGATCTTACAAAAGTTAAAAAGATTTTTTAAAGATTTAAAAAAAGATTCAGACATTAAAAAGATTTTTCGAACAAATTTTTTGTGAATAACTTTGAAATGGAAAAATTCCTAGAAAGAGAAATCCCAAATAATCATACAACTCTTAAAGAAACTGAAATCGTAATTAGAATTCTTTCCACAAAGAAAATTCTAGGCCCAGATGGCTTCAACAGGGAACGCTACCCAACACTGAAGGGAGAAAAGGTGCCGATGTAACACAAACTCTTCTAAAGAATAGAAAAAGAGAGAACGCTCCCAACTCATTTTATGAAACCGGCATAACTTTGACACCAAGGACAAGGCAAGAAGGGCAAGGACATTGCAAGAAAGGGAACATTAAGGGCCAGTTTCACTCATAAACATAGATGCAAAAAAATAAAAAAATATTAGCAAGTATATCCAGCAAGATATACAAAAGGAAACCACATCAAACCAAAGTGGATTTATTCCAGGAATGCAAGGGGGATGTAATATTAAAATCGATCAATGTAATTTACTACTTTGAGAATAAAGGAGGAAAATCTTCATTTTAATAGATGCAGCATTTGATAAAATCCACATCCATTCATGGTAAAAACCTTGGCAAAGAATAGGCGCACACTTTTCTAACCTGATAAAAGTTACCTTGGCAAATGTTACCGAAAGGCTTAATGGTAGAAGTTTTCCTCCCCGAGAACAGGAGCAAGACAAAAATGCCTGCTCGTATTCCATTAACAGTGCTTGGGCATCCTAGTCAGTGCGATAAGGCACAAAAAGGAAAGATTAAGGAATTCAAAGAAAGAAAGAGTACTGTTATTATGCACACAGATGATATAATTTTGTAGTAAAAAATCCTAAAATGTCAACATGTACATTGTTAGAATTCAGAGAATTTAGCAAGATGGCAAAATAGCAGAGATAGCTAAGTTACCAGGTAGCGGGATACAAGATCAGTTTACAAAAACCTGTCTTATTTAAACCTTCTAAAGAAGGATGTTCGTGATTTGGATAGCTCAATATTTTAAAAATGTCAGTTCTCCCCAAGTGATCAACAGAGTCATTGTAAACCCATTAAAAATCCCAGTAATTTGTTGGGTTTTCTTAATGTGTGGAAACGGACAAGCTGATTTAAAAACATATGTGGAAATGCAGAGGACCAAGAATAGCCAAGATACGCTAAGAAAGAAGAATAAGGTATTAGGACTATTCTAGTTGTTGTAAATTAGTGTCAGATAATTAAGACAGTGTGGTATGGCTGTAAAATTGGATAACTAGACCAATGAGACAGAACAGAGTCATAAACAGACCCACACATGAGTGAACTATTGATTTATTACAAAGAAGGAATTGTAGAAAAGCAGAATTAATCTCAGAAATTACACTAAACTATCCTTCAGTGACCAGGAGTCACACGGAAGTAGGAATGTTAATCTGTTTTGTCATAATTTCTATTACTTTTCTTTATTCTCCCTCATTTTCAGAGGGGTTTGCTCTATTCCTAGCCCTACTCCCCTACTCAGGCACTGCTTTGTGATCCCAAAGCAGTGAGGGAAAGCAAGCAAGCGGAGCTCAGGTGATCCAGGAAAGAAAATAACAGGACGGCCCTGTGATCCGGTTGGCCCAGTTCAGTTCCAGTTTACACCTGTTGTCCAGCATAATTATTAATAACTTCTACTCTCAGAAGTGCTCTGATTTGGAGGATAAATTTTATGGTCACCCAACTGAAAGGATTCTAGTGTATTTGGATCACACTGAACTACTTGAGCACACAATTTAGGATACCAAAAAAAAAAAAGCTGTAAATGTAGGCAAGAGGGGGCTCCCTGATGTGATGAAGTAGAAATAATTAAGTGAAGGGCCAGAGCTGGTTCATGGGTGGATGGCCCAGACATTAGGATGCAGTTTGGTGAGCACCGGTGTACGGATTTGTCTTACTTTAAGCTCTTAGATCTGTAAGGTCAGAGACGTCGGACTCCCCCTCCTGAGGTCAGTCTAAAACAGCAGCAGTTATTTAAAGAGAATAATATAGACAGCCTGGGTTTCGATTTCTGAGGTACACTTCAGAAAGAACACTGTAGAATAAGGGCAAGTCAGTCTACACTGTCATCAAACTGGTTTGATCTATTAATTACCGGTAGACTGTCATTTGCAAAGAATCGTAATTAGACTATCATCTTTTTTTTAACTCTTAAATTTCTTTAGAAGAGTGGTTCTCAAGTGGGATTCTGAGACCCCTGGATGGTGTTTGAGACCCTTTCAGGGGTCTTGGAGGTCAAAACTATTTTCGTCATACGAAGAGGTCATTCGACACTTTTTGTGGTGTTGACATTTGCACCGAGGTGCAAAAGCAGTGATGGCTGAAACTGCTGATGACTCAGCATGTGAATCAAGGCAGTGGCAGCAAATCATTCGCGTGGTCACGTTCTCCACTTCTATAGCATCGAATTTATTTTTAAAATGCTAGTTTTATGTTAGTGTGTCTTTGATGACGTAAAAGCTGTTAATTTCATTAAAACCTAAACTCTTGAGTCTTTAATAGTCTGTGAGACAAAAGAAGAAATACATATAAAGCACTTTGTCGAGTACAGACATTTCAAGGAAAAGCACGCGTTCAGCTGTTTGGGTTGAGAAGTGAACTCACTGCTGTCATGTTTTTAACTTGAACAAACAACTGGCAGACATCATTATTGAGCCTTTGGGTGATAGGCAGACGTGGTCTTGAAAATGAATGAAGCGAGCCTGTCACTTCAAGAAACACAACTGACAGTGTCTGTCGCCAATGATGAAATCGACTTTTCAAGTGAATTTAGAGCTTGTCTGCCACCATGGACTTGACAGCTTAAAGACGTTTCTGCTGAACTTGATGGTGATATTAATGAATATCATTTTTTAATACTGTAAAGTGAAATGTATTAATGTCTAGGAAGTCTATAAAGTACAGTGAACTAATATTTTTCAAATGACCAGTGTCATAAAATCACAGTGAGTCCATTCAAAATATAAGATATGCCAGTGAGTCTTAATGTAGCAGAGTACGAAAAATTCATTGGTATTGTTTCAGATTCCATGTTGCCACTAGCACTTAAGGAAACTTTGTTGAGTTTTGGTGTGGTATGGAAGAATATCTGAAATATTTTAATATAATCTGAAAAGGCTATTAAAATATTCCTCCCTTTTCCAACTACATATTTATGACAACTGATCGAATACAGAATATATGAGAATTCAGACATCTTCTACTGAGGAAATTTGAAAAAGATGTAAAACTTTTCCCTAATGTTTTTTGACAATACAGTTAATTTAATGAAAAATATTGACACGTGACATGTTTAATGTTATTGTAAATGAATGGTAAAAATAAGTAATTAAAAAGTTTCTGTTTTAATTTTAAATGCGATACATAGCTACAGGTAGCATACACATAACATAAAAGCTGTTGGGAATTCGCAACAATTTTTATGAGTATAAAGGGATCTTGAGACCAAAACATTAGAGAACTGCCACTTTAACACACTGGTTTTCAGCCTTAACCTGAGGATCGTCAGTGGAGCCTTAAAAACTGCTAATGTCTGGGTTCCCCCTCCAGAGGGTCTGTTTTAATTGGTCTGGGGTGCAGCGTGGGCACTGGGGCTTTTGAAAGCTCCCTGGTGATGCTAATGTGTAGAAGCCACAGTTGAGAACCACCACTTTAGTCAGATGCTGGCAATGAAAAGGCCCTCGGACTTGACCGTGCCTTCTCCTGATCTGCACACTAAAGGATTTCTTCTTCCATTATCTGACGGATTTGTCGGGCATCAGCTATCTTTCAGGCTCGTGTTCCAGGAGAGATGGATAATAAGCCGGTGGACCAATAGGTCTTATTTTTTCATAGAGCTGAGGGTGCACCCAGTCAGAAAGCAGAGCCAGGGTACAGTGTGGTCCTGACGCTTGGTGTGCTTTGCCTTCAGACCCAGTTTTGGCCCCGGTTTGCTGCCGTCGTCAGAGCTGGTGCCTCCTGAGTCCCAGCAGCCACAGGCATCGGCTGAAGCCCCGTTTGCCGCCCGAGGGATCTACTCTGAGGACATGCCATCGGTGGCCCGGCCTCGGCCTGTCGGGGGCACCACAGGTACATGTGGCTATTTAGCTTGCATTTCAGAACTAGAGGATGCTTGCATTTTGGCTAAATTCTGGCAGACTGCATTCTAGACTTCCCAGTGTATCAGCATCGCAGCGTTCAGCAGCCTCTTCCACTGATGGGAGCTGCTGCCCTCTGCTCCAGGCAAGATGCAGAGCAAGGAGCTGGGACAGGAGGGACCGGCTGAGATCCGGAGATTCAGGTCCACCGAGTCCTGAATCAGCATCTCAAAAGCAGGCCCTTCACATGGAACTCACAGCACATCTCTTCCAGGGAAAATGGTTCTAAATTCTTGGAATTCAGTTAAACAAAGATTTTTTTTTTTTTCCTGAGCACTTGTTATGGCATTCAAACAGGTATTTGTTTTAAAGTGGGCACTTTCCTCGCTTTTAAGATGCAACCCTAAAAGTTACTGGACAGTGACTCGGGAGATTTTTTTTTTTTATTTGGTCTCTGCTGAGAGAGTGCAACCACTGATTTCTCCTCAAACCTCACCTCCCTCAATTTTTCCCCTTCTACCTTTGTTAATATCATCTTCTTCTCTTTTTAAATTTTCGTTTCATTTTTTTTCATGCTGTCCTGCCGTCCCCTCCCTGCTGCCACCCACCTGGGCAGTCAGGAGTCGAGGGCCTGGGGAAGCTGGTGGCCACGTGGAACTGTTCTAGTTCCTTTCAGCCTCTCTTTCCAGCCCTCATTAAAAGAATCATCTTAGTGTTATTTCTGGGTAACCAGTGCAGCTCTTGATAATTCAACAGGGAAAGGTCACGTCTTCTAAAGCGGTCTTCTAATTCAGTGTCAGACTTTTAAGTATTGGTATATGGCTTTTCCTTACTTTTAGCATTTAGGTATCCTTTAATTACCTGTAGGAATTCAAATACAAATTCTACACCAGAATATCTCCACATAGGAAATAAGAGTTCTCGGTTTATGTTCTTAAAATAACATAATTCTTCATATAATATTGTGTCCCAACTGCAATTGAAAAATAATTATTTTAAAAAATAAAAATTTAAAAAAACATAGTTCAAAATGTCCAATTTCTGGGAAATTTGAAGCCAGAAGGAAAATAAATTTTGTTAAATGTTTTTGTTAAAAAAAATTTCAAAAAATTATAATTAATTGATTTGAAAAACATGGAGCATAATTTGATTTACTTATAAAAGTATAATATTTAGTATATTTAATATAAAGATACAGGGTGTTTTTGTCAGACCACAATTAAAATTTAGGGATTAAGTCTTTCTGCATTCACTTTTTTAAGAAAAGGAGCTAGCTATAAACACCTGTATTTTAACAATCTAACACACTTAGTTTTTGTCAGTTTCTGAGAAGCACGTTAAAGATTCAAGAAAATGAGGAGCCCTCAGAATTTTGATAAGGCAAAAAAAATAATGTTTTCTAAACTGAGTGTTCTTAATAATTACATCTAGATTAGGAATAAATTTATTTTCAAAAAATAAAGTAGGAAAAAAAAATGCATTTACCTTAATGTCTCCTGGGGTTTTTGTGTTAATTGTTGGATCCAGAAAAAATCCTCATCAAGTTCAATAGATGCTTGACATTTATGAGGGATTCATCCTGAAATCTCTGTAAATGCTCAAATTTTCAAATGCTATGTTTTACACTTGATTTCCCTAATCGGTCCAACAGACGTATAAGTGGACCAGGTAAGAGACCCCTTGCAGACCCACCTGAGAGAGACTGCTGGTAATTGACAAGCGGTGCCTAACATGGCTGAGCTCAGATTCTTACAAGGCAGTGGCTAGTCTTCCTCACTGGCTTACCTGAGATCCAATTTCGTATCCCCAAATTACAATTGACCGTTTTGTGCCGTAAAATGACCTCTCACGAATAGTTGATACTATGAATGCTATATTTGTGAATGTCATTCAGTGTTTTTAAAGCATCTGTGTTGTTTAAACTCCTGAGTTCTCTGTTTCTTGTACAGCTCTGCACTCTGAAAAATCCTCAGTTCATTATCACTCCATCTTACTGCATTTTATTACAAGGGCTCAAAGTTTTAGTTTTCTCCATTCATTTCTTGACCCTCCTTTTGAAGACTGAAGCTCTAATAAGAGGAGCCATTACATGTTAAATAATGTGTTTTGCTATTTCTAACTTTCTGGAGAGTGTACACCTTCATAATGTCATTAAGAAACTTAGGCCAATTCCAGTTTTTCAAGAATTGGTGGATAATGATCCACTGTGGTCTCCAAGGCAGTTCTTGCATTTTGCGTCATCTGTCAGTGAACAAAAATAATACAGCCTGACATCCTACAGGATCTCCATACTTTACAGGTGCTGGCTTTGTAATGAGTCTTGTTTCTCTTATTAACTCACATCACAGATACAAAATGAAATTCAGACATTTACTTTTAATCTAGAAGGATAGAGAATTTATATGCATGAGAAACATTTGAAGAGGAAGTTATTTTCTAATAATTTCTAACAGATTAAATTGTGAAAATTTGTAATGGGAAAAATGTTAAGATACACTATAAGAGTTCTCTTTCTGACTATAAAATATGCGTATGTCTAAAAATTTCCAAAAACAGAAGGAAAATAGTATCTAGGGAAGGTTTTATAGCAGATATGATCAAGAGGTATTTTTATTATAGAGGACGGCTTATGTAAATTGATAAATGGGCAAGCCTCAAAAAATGAATGAGCAAAGGACAGGAAGAAAGAATTCACAAAAGAAATGTGTGTGTACCATATGAAAGTAAACAAACAAACAAAATGCCTGGTTTTGAAAATGTTTGAGGACGTGCCCATTAAAACCACGATGAGGCACAATATCAGTCATGAAGCTGATTTCATCATAATGTGGTGTGAAATTAGCATCTCGTTTCTTCATCTGTTCAGCGGGGATAATATCACACTTACTGCCGATGGTTATTTTGATCATTAAAGAAGATAATGGGTATAAAGTGCTTAAAATAGTGCCTGGCACGTCATACACTATTAAATATTAGTCGTCATTATTATTATTACTGTTGTTTTTGGTGTTAGTATAAATTAGTGAACTTAGGGAAAGCAGCCTGGCAGTAACTTAATGAGCTTTTGATTTGGTAATTCCATTTCTGGGAATCCAGGCTCTTCTTCCCCAAAGAAGTCCAAAATATTGGAAGAAAGACGACATGCAAAAGATATTTATCAGAGCATTATTCATGATGACGAACAATTGTCAGCTCCCTCACTACCCAGTAATAAGGGCATCCGTGAGTAAACCGTGCAGCCATTGAAAACGAAGAGCTCGGAGTCAGAAAAAGGGAAATGAACACTGCTTCCTGAGCATTCAGTACTTGACCTATTTTATCTCTTTTAATCCTTGAAATAACACCATGAGGTGGATTTATTTATTTTTTATCCCATTTGAGAAGTGAGGCATCAAGGCTCAGCGGGAGTGGTCACCGGATGCTCAAGCTGGCCGGGCTTGTCAGAGGGTGGGCTGGAATGCAAAGCCATGCTTCATGGGTGTGATGCCCCACGTTGAATCATGGGGGAAGCTCTTGTATCGTTAAGTGAACTCAACGAGATACAGAATTGTGTCTGAATTAGTGATCATTATATATCCAAATAAAACCGTAGAGGAGTTCTTTCCCCGCCTGCCCCCCCAATTTATTTGCTTAAGGGAGGCTGTTAATTAGACAACTAGATGAGAAGATGATGGAGGGGGCCGTCTCCCTTACCTTGGAAATCTCTGAACCTTTGTAGGACAGATGAATTCGCTCACCCTAGGAGCATTTGGAAATAAGTACTTTTATTCCACAGTGCTTAAAGATCACTTTTTTCTCCCTTAATCTGCAGAATAGGGATATTTCCACATGCCAAAAGTTGATGAGGGAGAAACACATGTTGTTTAAGTTCCTAGTTACACGAGGCTAGAGCATGTGTGTGTGTAGGAGAGCGAATGTGCTCTGGGAAGATTCTGGCTTTGCCACCTTGCTGATGGGGATCGACGGGTGGCTTGAACTGTGACATGGCTAAGTTACGGAAACAATGAGTGTAATGACAGTATACTTTGACATTCTGAATTCAAATAAATATGCTCTGCCTTTTAAGTGAAAAAGCATATTGTTTTCAGCTCCTCGTGAGACTGAAAGCCTCAAGCAAGAAGGAGCTAGGTTTCAGCTTCTTTATGGCTCTAAAACCTTTCACTCCTTTTAGCCGAATAAGATAGTTCTTATTTGCAGCCTCTACAGAAATGAATGGAAGGCCCTCTGTCAAACCCTTTATTCGGTCCTTTGATGTCTAACCAGGAAAATAAGGACCTCACTAGCAGCCACTGTATTGAAAGGAAGTAAAACCCATGAACCCAGAAACTCAAGGTCTGTCTGTCTTAGGAAGTTGGAGGTAGAATTAGTGCCATGTTTGAACAATGCTGGTGTCCCTGTCTCTAAGGGAGTGTGGGGGTCAGAGCCAAACAGCCTTAACGAGCAGCCTCGCTCACCTACCAGTGTTGACCAGGTCTCTCCATTGTGTTCCTTCAGGCTCCCAGATCCAGCACCTGACGCAGGTGGGAATTACGAGCAGAATCGGAGCTCAGCCAGTGGAAATTGCACCAAGCAGAAGTGGCCAGTATGGGGGACCAAGCTGGCCTTCGTACGGGGAGGACGAGGCAGGCCGAAGAGAGGCCGTGAGTATCTTGCATTTGGGTCCCCACTGAGCGTTTACACATAATCACTTAATTCAGCTGCTTCTGCTTTGGGGATTCCTTGTAAAAAACCTACAAAATGAAAGTTTTAACCTCCCTCACTTTTCTCCCCTTGAGTGTATTTTTGTTTGTATGTTTTTTTTGTTTGTTTAACTTATTTTTTTATGGTGACATTGGTTAACAAAATCCAATAAGTTTCATCTATACACTTTAATAGTAAGGCCTATATATGTTTACACTGTGTGTTCACCTCCCATAGTTAGATTTCTTTCTATCACCACATATTTGACCCCCTTTACCCCGTCTACCTCCCCCTTCCCCCCTACCCTCTGGTAACCACTAGTCTGTAGTCCATGTCCATGAGTCTCTGTTTGTTTGTCCTGTTCATTTGTTGCTTTTAGGCTAATATCCCACATATAAGTGATATGTGATTTTCAACTTTTTCTGTCTGGGTTATTTCACTTAGCCCTCCAACCCAGAGTTGGGGAGTATTGGCATTGAACTTTTGGAAAGTATATACTCTTTCTCGAGGCATATTTCAGGCTAGAGGTCATGATTTTTTTTTTAATAACCTTTTAAAAAATAATAAAAGCAATATTCATTACAGAAAATCTGGACAGAGACCTAAGTAACAGTTATGTTTTGTTCTTCCAGTTATTTTTCTTGTGGTAAAATACACGGAACATAAAATTTACCATCCTAACCATTTTCAAGTATACAGTTCAGTGGTTTTAAATACGTTCACACTGGTATGTAACCATGACCACCACCATGACCAGAGCTTCTTTTCATCTTGTGAAACGGAAACTCTGTACTCATTAAACACTAACTCCCCATTCGTTCACCTCTCCAGCTCAGGGAAACCACCACTCTGCTTTCTGCCTCTCTGATTTTTACTTTTAAGCAGTGAATTTGAACCTGCCGGTGACTAAACTCTGGACTTGGTCTTGGATGTGATCGCTGTGTAAATATATTCATGACCTTGCATACCTACTGACTCACTCCGTGCTTTGTGGTGGGTTTATCAGCATCATTTCTATCTTGACCACCACGGGTAGACGCTTTTGCCGTAAGGACGCAATTTGGGGCATTTCAAGGCATAGGGTTTGTTTTGCAGGTTTCTCGTTACTCTTTTATAAAAGCAGAATATGAGCACAGGTAATTTCTACAATTGCTTTCCTTTGTTTTCCTCAAGGATTTTATATTCATGGGAATAAATACATGAATTTGAAAAGATGAACCAAAATGACACTTTTTGTTTTATCCTCGTCACTATGCCACCACTTTGATTGCACTTACGTGTCTTTCCAGCAGATACACTAAATTCCTTTAATGACTGGATGCTTTTACTCCGTGAAAGGAACTTAACTGTAGAATATAATTTTCCCCTAAAGGATATATGGTTATAATCTCAGGTATCTGCTCTACGTTCACTGATGTTTTTCTTTCTTCCCCTTCATTGTGCCCAACTTAGTTTCATGAGGTGTTTTGGGTTTTCCTGTCAAATCCAATGTTCACCTGAGAGTGCCTCTCCATCACTATTTGGAAAAGTGAGCTGAGGAAATGTTCTAGGGCTTGCACGCAGGCTAATAGCTTACTCTTAATGTAGGTGGAACCACAGATTTTGTGTATGTATGCAAAGAAAGATTTTTTCCACTGAAAAAATATTTTAAAAATCACCAAAAACTATAATTCTTGTCAAACAAATGCCCAATTTATATTTTGCAAATATAAGCAAAACTCGCATGTTTTAGCACTGATACCTTTTCAAAGAAAAGTCTCTACAGAGCACTCTGTAGACAGACACACAGACACACAGACAGATAGACGAAATGAAAGGTGAGTTTGCAATCTCGTTCCTGTTCTGTGGTCCCAGGACTTGAACCCACGCACACCCTCCCTGGACCCCAGCACCAGACAAAGTCCCGTCATTCCCCTTGTCAGTCCCTCTGCCGGTACCTACTTATCTCTCCCAACTGTCGGATATCCTCATCCGACCTTTCACCTCCGTGGGGTCCTCCAGACCTCCCTCCCTCTCCAGCTCTGTTCTCCCTGCAGGACACTCACTTCCAGACACAGACGCACAGGCCAATGAGATTAAGCAAGTATTTATTAGGCATCTCCTAAGTTCAAGGGTTTCTTCATCGGACAGCTCTCCCTTGAACAATTTTGCCACAGCTACTACTCTCCGGTCTAGTCCCAGGGGCCCCTAACGGAGGGCTGAGTTGTTGGGTGGGAGATGGGCAGAGGAAGTCCTGGGAGCATGCCCGCTGCCAGTTCGAGTTTCATTTTCCGTCTTGTTCTTGCGTGGGAAGTACAGCAACCTCTGCCATGTTTTTCAGCCACACGTGCTCGGACATCAAGAGTATTCTTCTTCACCGCTGTTCCAGGTGCCAAGGACTTCAGGCCGGGAGCCCTCAGCTCCTCCCGGGAACCTCCCACACAGGGGGCTGCAGGGCGCCAGCCTGGCTTACGCCACCAGCTCCACGGAAGACCTCCAGCCCGGACACTCCTCGGCCTCGCTCATCAAAGCCATCCGCGAGGAGCTCCTGCGGCTGTCTCAGAAACAGACCACCATGCAGAACTTCCACAGCTGATCGGCCTCGCCTTGCAGATTTGCCAAGTATCCGCTTCCCGTGGAAGCAAGACCAAGAGGAAACCAACAGAGTGGGTGTTCGTCAGAGGACAAGCGTCTCCTGGGCTCGGCGCCTGCTCAAGGGAGCAAGTTGCAACTTTAGAAGATGCCACAAGTCGCGTGACAGCTCACGATGCTTTTAATAAGTTGGCAATTTTGTGACCACTTGGGTCCAGTCGAAATGTCTGTACTTTTGGCTAAAAGCCAGCAGCACCTCACAAAAGACAAACCACAAACCTAAGCTCACAAAATTCCTAAGTCTCCTTTTTCAAGGCGAAAGCCGAAAATGTCTAGATGGGGTAGAGATGCAGGGAATCCCGCATTTCCGCGGGAAGTTCTGATTCAAAGGCTGGTTTGTACGGTGGACCTGCTGCTTTGTTTTCTGAGAAGAGAGATTTGAAGACATTTTATTAACAGCATATTTCCCTCTTTTTCTCCATAGGAACTTATTTTGATAGTCATGTTAACAACCAGGATACTAAGGCTGTTCGGGAGTTTAAAAAGCTACTAGTGAGAAACCAAATGATAGATTGTAGAGCCTGATGATTTCAAACGAAGCCATCACCTGCACTGTTCCTTCTACTTCTGGTGCTACAGCTCCAACGGCCCTTCACCTTTTTGTCTGTGAAATGCAACTTTGGCTTTTTCAGTGGAAGAATATGTTGAAGCTTTCGTTTTGTTCTAGAAAGAAAGAAAGAAAAAAATCCCTCCCAAATGACGGAGGGAGAAGCGTAATGTTTATGGGGTTTTTCAAAATACATATCAAAGCTTAGATTTACATTCTTGATTGTATTCGCTGTTCGTTAATAGAGTGCCCATCTCAGCACGTGTCATCATTAAGGCCAGTCCCGCAGAATGAGGCTTTCAGGAGGTCCTCACCCATCCTTGTCCTTTGCCGATGAGTTGCTCACAAATTATGTTTGAATGACAGATCTTACTTAAGTAAAACTTACGTGGCAACATTCCTGGGGACCCCCAGATTGTGATTCATGACTGCATCCCTGGTGATCATGCTGTCTGTGCGTTCAAGACCTGCAGATGGAAGCGAGTTCTTGTCAGCCTGTCTGTGCACGAGAAAGAAGTGTGAAGTCTGAGGACATGGGAGAGGAGACGGTTTTCCCTGACTTCCGATTTCATTGTGCTCAACCCTACTGAGTGGCTGTTAGAACCGTCTGTGTGCTTTGGGCCTGATGGAGGTGTCCCCTCCCTTAAGGTTTGATCCCAATGACAGCATATCTCCACTGTGTGCTTTGGGCCTGATGGAGGTGTGATCCCTTAAGGTTTGATCCCAATGACAGCATATCTCCTCTTCCCAAATTAGCGTAAAGAATACAACAACAGGGGCCATTCTGCTTTCTGGTACCTGAGTGACGCTCAGAAAACAGACGTAGATAACGTTTCTGCTATGTGTCCTTTATTATTAGATCAATTAATACTTTAAACAAAATTTGGGGCTCTGACTAATCAAAACTGGTGTCACATATGAAGAATCCTGAAGCAGCTAAGATAGGTTTCTGCGTGGAATCACTGTCCCAGAATCACGTTTTAGCAAGCCCTTCTTTCGTTAAGCCTGTGGACAGCCCTAGAGTTCAGGGAAAGTTGGTTCTGAGAAGTTCAAGTGCAGCCATTTTTCATCCGTGCACCTCTGAAAGAGTTGGGGTACAAGAGGGTCCGTCTCTCAAGGACGTTAAGTTAAGGAAAGAGACTCCTATTCAGGCTGTCGTCACAGGCTCCAAAGAGCATGGGAGAGAAGACCCCTTGGGGGCTTGATTTCTTACCTCTTGGTCTTGGTTTAATACCCAGAGTGGAAGACTCTCTTTGTACGTCACTCAAAAGTACCAGGTTTCCTGAATAATCTTATTAAGAATTTCAGATACCCAAGCAGAATTATATTATGAACACCTTACAGTGACTCCAAGTCGTGGACTTGACAGCAAGTGGACTAACTGCCAGGCCCTCCTTCTCCCATTCTGCTCCATGTGGTGAGTGTGTGCACGAAGATTGTGCAAACACAGGCACCTCCTTTGTACAGGACAGAGACGGGCCTCTCTTCTAAAGGGGCTGCGTTCGTGATTTGGATGCCTTTCAAACTAGCATAGAAGGATTCTACCTGTATTGTCCTTGGAGTTGATACACTTTTAAATCGGTGTCAAGGCCAAAGAGAACATTTACATGGGGGTGCGCAGGCCTGAGGGATCCCCAGCACTCTAGTGTCCGTCATAAAGCACACTCAGTTTGCCCTTGTTTTCTCTAAACACCTGCCACTTCTACGAATCGCCGAGCTCAGAACAGACTAGCTGTCATGAAGAGCTTCACACCCAGGGGGGTCTTCAGACACTCAGCTGATGGGATCTGCTGTAAAGTGTCATGAAGAGCTTCACACCCAGGGGGATCTTCAGACACTCAGCTGATGGGATCTGCTGTAAAGGAAGGTCCTCACGTCCATCGTCTGTGCCGCGGAGTTCCATTTACCTGCAATACTCTAAAACGAAGTCACATTTTACGTCTTGTCTTTTCCTCTTATTTTCAAAATTCTAGCAACAGTAACACAAGCCGTACATTTGAGTCAGACTTTTAGAGAAGATTGTTGAGATGAACTCACCGTGTCAGGTGCCTTCTCGGAGCCTCCTTCTCCCCATCAGCCAAACGAGGACAGACCGCCCCCACCCACGTCCCCGGCTTTCTCATCGTGAGAATCACGCGTGAGCATGGCTGCCCACGTCCCTTGAGGAGGGAGCGTATAGCACTGTGAAACCGTTAAGCATTATCTGTATGATTAGGCTGGATGGACGTTCCGATACGCTGTGATCTGCTGGTGAAGGAGTTTGTATGGCGGTCACCAGAGCAAAACTAAAGGTTCCGGGTCACTCTTCTTCCTCTCTCCCGTTTTGCTTTAAATCCATTTCCTTCTCCATTAACTTTCAAACAGCATTTACTAAAAATCTTTCTGCTGTTTCTGGCCCCAAGTCTGTCACATGTGAACCCTGCCTTCTGAGATCTTCGCATCTGAGATAACACAGGTATAAGAGATGGAAGACACACATCAATAACGTGGTTTAAACGTTGAAGACACACAAGTGCATTAGGTACTCAGAAGAAGAAGCGGAAGTTGTGCATTTGGAAATGAGATCTTGGGTAGAAGTCACCTTCGGGGGCTGCTCTGATGAAGGTAGAGGAGCCGGCCAGGCACGTGGTGAGCTGGCGTGGGAAGAGCCAACGGTGGGCCTGAGGAAGGATGTGGAAAGTGGGTGAAGTTGTCATTGAAAATGAGCTTGATCCTGATTTGCTACTTTGTGGGGACAGAATTCCTAACTGCACTGTTTGGGGAGTTTTATTTATAAGAGGAGGAAGTGATGCTGTGAGTATAATGTTTGCAATAATACAGCGAGAAAATGACCAGGCCCGTGAAGAAGGTCTACAGAGGAAAAGATCCATTCCGGGGGGAAGGGGAGAGTAGGAAGAATTGCCGAAGGACCAAATGTAAAGTATGAAAATAATGGTAAGAATTCCCCCACCTGCTCCATTGGTTAGCACAGATCTCAGTGGTCAGCCGCGTGGCCACATTAAACCCTCTGTGGAGCATAGTGGTTCTAAATAAATATATTTGACTTCCTTACAGCTACCCACACGTTTTTCTCTGATTTTTATTTACTGCCAGACTACGTTTTGATTTTGGTAGCACATGGTTTTCGAGCAGCAGATTGTGGGTTTTTACCAACCAGACTTTTCAGGGCATAAGACTTGTGATGCAAAGTACAGGTGAAGGTCTGCCTGAAGGCTTTGGGCCAAAACAATTCCATGCTTTATGAGCCTCCCACTTAACTGTGTACAGGGTCAGTGCTTACTGCGTCTGCACAGCTTCTTAGTGCTCCAGTGGCCAAACCGATCACTCGAACACTGATTTGCATTCGCAGTAACTCCCAAGTTAGTTATAAATAAAACGTCTCCATCCCCTTCATACCAGATTGTTAGACCTGAATGAATTTGTTGGAAGGAAAGCTGGTTACTATTCCGGGCGCGGGGAAGGAGGCCTCCAGTCTTACTCCCCCACTAACTTTAGCTCATGTTGAGTTTTAGCCATTTCATTTCTACCTCCAGGCAAGTCTCCAAAGCCAGCCGCCAGGGCCTGCTTATTCACATTTGTCCAGACAGGAGCACGCAAGTCCACTTTCTGTACCCGCAAACAGATTGTTGACCACGAAACGTTTTTATGGGATGGTAACTTGAACTTCACTTTTACATGTAGTCCAACACATCAGCAGATATTCTAATAGCAGATGAGAGGGTTTCTGTGAGCAGCTGCTGTAAGGTGCTCAAAATGTCATAGGCTTACACTTATTACCTAGTGAACAAAGAGTGTGTACATTTCAGGTTTCTTTTGATATTTCCGGGGTGATTGTCGGTGTTTAAACTAGGACTCCTTTGTCTAGTATTGAAAAGACTTGAAAACCGAAACCTCACGGTACGATCCTCATTCCATGCTTGTGTGTGTAATGGTACGCTTGAGAATTTGTCTTGAGGACATGCAGCCGCATTGACATTTAGGAAAAGAATGTTTAAATGCCTTTGGAACAAGAAACAAAGGTGGCCACCAGCAAGCAAGCGAGAGAAGGCGTGAACGTCTGTCGTAATCGGAGGATCTGGAGTCCACATCTGTTTCCCACAGGGTAGATGGTCATGCGGGTGTCTCGCTTTTCCTTCTTCCTCCAGGTTTTTCTGCTCTGCGGCCACTTCCCTTTTAAAGGAAGGATGAATTGGTAGAAAGGACGGAGATAAAGATGTAAGCAATTTGGGCCTCGTAGTCAATTCCACGGTGCCATTCTGCACAGTGCGGAGCGTGACGAACAGTCTTCTCAGTGTGCCAGTTAGGAAGAGTACAGGGCCAAGTGCAAGCCAGACACCCCGTACTGTTCCTGCTGCAGCAGTGGGCAACGGAGGAGGCGCTGGAGGAACGGAAGCTCCACCAGTTAACTCAGTTGCTCCGAGCACCAGAGGGCTCGACACTGCCCTCCTTCAGAGCATCCTCCGGCGAGCACGGAGACTGGGCTAGTGTTACTCTCCCAGGAAAGATCGCTTAGCAGAGCCACTCCGGACGCCCACTTGTCTCCTGCTTCGTCAAGGTCCATGTTCTGACTCTTCCCACACTCTCATTCCAAGACTATGAGTGTTAATGTACGAAAACACGCAGAGTAAATTGAGCCGCTCGTGGCATCAATACTGCAACTTGAACTTGACAATCATGGTTTGCTGGTCTCAAACGGGCACTTAAATTTTGGGCTGGGTATATGATTTAGTAATCGAATCCTCCCTTCTATTTGTCGATTATGTTTCTACCCTTCGATTAGCCGCACTGTTTTCTAATGTGCTGTAGAGTTTTTGAAATAATTTATGCAAGTGTTTGGTTTCTATGTTTACAATTTATACGGCTTTCCTAGAATTTTAAATGGACATGTCAATAAATGCTATGAATTGGTGTCAAGTGATATTTTCTGTTTATTTCCTTTGTGAGGTGATAGTTTTCTCATTCGTAAAATGTGAAAGTTGAATGAGATGATTTTTTTCATCCGCTAATTTTTGTGTCTGTGGTGAGAATGCCTAGTACTTCATTTTCCAGGGAATGAAGTTGAAAGCAGTCTCTTCATTGTGTGCCATCTGCAGAATTGTTTTCACTCACGTTACCCACCAATCGAATCGATGCTTCTGCTAATCAGATTCATTTGGGAATTAAAAGATCAGAATTCTACAACCTAGAAAGATCAATGAGAAGATCAAAGTCTGTGTAATCTAAAAGGTAATAGAGTAAACCTGGACTTGTTTACGAAACTCAAGAAAGTAAGAACCCCTTGACACTGGGTAAAGCAAAAGGAACCATGAAAGGCAGTGGTACGTAAATGAAATGTGGAAACCTGGGTAGACTCTTGGAACGACAAAGAAAGGTAGTCAGTGGGAAAATGGTGAAATCTA